TTTTGGACAAATTATTATGCTAATTTCTTCATTCATTAATTTCTAGGTCAATACATTCTAAAAGGGGCGGTATCTAAATTTTGAGGCCATAGTTTGAAAGGGGAATTTGCAACTCTTAGATACAATCGGTCACTGGTAGCATAGTGGTTATTGCATCAGACTCATGATCGGTAGACCCAAGTTCAAATCCTACCATAGGCTGAACGTCAAAAAGGTCGACCCCTACCCTGGGTGAGTGTGCCACAGACTCAATGGGAAGGCCAATTCCACTGGCCGAGATTCATTCACTAACGAATGCGACTTTGGGGGAACCTTGATTAAGGTCCGCAGGTGCTTGTGTTCGACCGGGCCTGGTTGACGCCAGGATAGCGCATTACAAATTGCCATTTGACAGAGAGATGGCCACACAGCCCTGTCATGTAGTCCCAAACATGAATATGACTTCTGTGGCAAAATGCACTATGTGTCGTCACTAGCACTTGCAATTTGCACATACAAAAAAAAAGTCAGGAGAGACAACGGTGACACTCAATGTCCGGAACTGTCGCCTGGCACAAAAAATATTTAAAAAAAAAAAAAAAAAAAATCTCTTAGATACAACCGATGGAACCCATTTAGATAGCAGCAATGATCCTCGCGGTAGTAGTCGCGCCACGCATGCGCGATATATATGGGTCTCATAAAACAAAGATGGCGACTTTGACTGTTGCGCAGATTAACGAGTACAAACTGAGCCGTTACCAAGCTTTAATTAGGTATTTTTTAGGTGATTGAAATGTATCGAAGGGGTCACTGGCGGTAATTAGTGCAAGTCGCGCCCAGGTCAAATCTCATTCTTGTGAATTCCATTAAAATAGCGCATTGATTGTGGGAAAATCAATGTTTATCAACATGCCGTACATGCACAGCGCGACGACCACCGTGGTCTTGTCAATTTGACTTGCCAAAATAAATGACAGCAGCTTCAGTCTGGGGAGCGTATTAACGGTATATTGCAGTTAGAAATTAAGATATGTTCAGTAGCACATTAAATTGGTATGGTAAAGGTTTTCAGTTCATGAGTAGTTAGTATGCCCCACTAATTCTAATGTGTATTCACAGAATGGAATACGCTAACCAGATATGATAGTAGTGATCCC